TCATGTTCTTCACCACTGTCGCGTTCCTGTGACTCGTCGCATAATTCCTCCTTTATAGCATCTTCTCCCTACTTCCTGGATGACTTTGCTTTCTTGACTTTATTTGTAATTATCCGTTAAAAGCTTGTAATTTTTTTTCGTGCCAGGTATTTTCTCAGAAAAACTATTTCACATGAAAAATTTTACAACATTTCTTTGCTATTTCCTTAAAGCACGTTTTAAAGACTTGATGTTTTGATGGTGAGTTAAAAAACCCTGTGCAGTTTATTGGTGTTTGTTTAGTTTAAGGGTTATTCGGCTATAGAATATTCCTTGCTCATCGCTCTTGTAGCGGAACGGAATGGACAGGTGAAGCTGGCATGCAGCTGGATATATCCTAGGAAATCCAGACCACTTTCTTTTCTTGGAACACGTAAGATAATCCTCGTTATTATACAGGAAAACATTCAAACATAAAACTGGTGAAACTCTTTATCGGAAGTCTATCTCTTTTCGTCCTTCTTTTCTTCATTCCACATGGCTTATGGAAAATTAGACCATTATCAGTTCAACCACAAACATCCCAACGTTCGTTTTTTTTAAAATTTGCTGACGCTACACAAATTTTGTGTTTCTTTGGCTTTTGGTTACCGATCGTCCCTATCCATGTTTTTTCCTCAATAAAGAGAAATCCGCCACCCAATTAACATCCCAGGGAATAAAGATATTTTATTACTCTGAAGATTGCCGATAACCTGACCACTCATCTCTCTTATGTACGAACGGCACCCATTTCTGCTAACAGGCCAAAACGCCTGCCATTTTTCTACTTCCTGACACTTTGTTTTGCACTTTCCACTCCGGATACTTAGTCTCCGACAATATACTTGTGGTGGGTATTAAATCTATTATATAAACGAAGAAAAATACAATACTTCAGTCAGAGGCGTAGATGAAGTTGTGGTTGTGATAAGGACGTTCCCGTACAGTTTGTTCCTCATGTTACTTTGGCGATTCCTCGCACGAGGCCATCGCATGGCCACTTTATTATTCCGTTTTGTTTTTCGAAAGCGATTTCTTGTTGATTCACACTTTCGATGTCACTTTCACTCACTCATTCTGTGACTGTTGTTGTGATGTCTGTTTGGACGTCGTGTTCATGCCGCGTCACAGCTTCAAAGGAATTCAATTCCCCAGTCACAGTGTTCATCGTCTGAATTCCTCTTTCACTCCTCCCTTTCAAATTTGAGGGATTGAAAACTAATTAGACGAAGTGAAAATTCTATACATTTGTTTGCACTCATCTTTCTTATGATTTTGTAGTCTCTATTGTTAATTTTCTTCTTTCCATTCATGAAGCCGGACGTATTTCAATCGACTAAATTAAAGACCTGATTGCGTGGTTTTCTTGTTCAGCAATCGCGAGGTTGTTAAACAGCATTCATTTACTTCCACAAAGAAACACAATACAATACAACAGTAGCTGACGCTTCGGCAGTATCGCCTTCTTCAGAGTCTGGAAGGGTATACTGATATACAATCTACTAGGCCAAACGTTTCAATAACACTTACAAAAAGACGAAAAGCTCTAGGGTACTTACCCAAAAGGAATTGGCCAAAAGAAAGTCTCGTTTATGTTACCTTTCATTAGCGATGAAGTAAGTGTAGCTCTTAAACGATGCTTAAGAAGGCAGATCTAGAGGAATCGGTAGCGATAATTGAAATACCACCGAATACTCTTCGTTATCAGTTAGTTCGTAACCGCCTGTACTACCGTCTATGTGAACCAACAAATTGCGTAATTTACACTTACGGCAGAGACGGTGATTGCATGAGTTCAGGTGCGATATTCCTGATCTATTGTAATAATTGCGGAGATGAATATATTGGCGAAACGGGCGGACCTTTGTGTATCCGTATAAAAGAATACATAGGTGGCAAACGAAAGCTAAGACAAAGTACACCCACTCATAGGATACAAAAGCATAGCGGAGATGATTTTGAAGTAAAAGTCAATACCCTTGCACTGGAGACCAAAACACCAGCGCGAAAACTCCATGAGGCTTTTTGGATAAATGCCAAGAACCCTGCAATGAATAGCAGGAATGAATACCCAGAGGTCATACGCGACCTGACCCCGTATGTTCGCATCAATTTCTGATGTGGGGTGGTGCAGTCATCAACCATTCGCGACTATAATCAGCTGTTCTAAACTTCCTCATTGGAAGTCACCAAAAAGCGGTGGGTATTTCGAGAAGTAGTTGATCATGTAATTACGATAGAGTTTTTTGTGTTTTTGTAAGTGGTATTGAAGCGTTTGGCCTAGTAGATTGTAGATCAGTATACCCTTCCAGGCTCTGAAGAAGGCAATACTGCTCAGCTGAAACGTGCCTAGTGGGGTGCTTTGTCTTAGCTTTCGTTTGCCACCTAGGTGTTTTTTTATACGGATACACAAAGGTCCGCCCGTTTCGCCAATATGTTCATCTCCGCAATTATTACAAGAGATCAGGTATATCGTACCTGAACTCATGCAATCATCATCCGTTCCGTAAGGGCAAATTATGCAATTTGTTGTTTCACATAAACGGTCATACAGGCGGTTACGAACTAACTGACGGCGAAGAGTATTCGGTGGTATTTCAATTATCGCTACCGATTCCTTTAGATCTGCCTTCTTAAGCTTCGTTTAAGAGCTACGCTTACTTCATTGCTAATAAAAGGCAACATAAACGGGATTTTCCTTTGGCCAATCCCTTTGGGTAAGTACCCTAGAGCTTTTCGTCTTTTTGTAAGTGTTATTGAAGCGTTTGGCCTAGTAGATTGTATATCAGTATACCCTTCCAGGCTCTGAAGAAGGCGATACTGCCGAAACGTCGGCTAATGCTGTATTGTGTTGTGTTTCTCTATGGAAGTGAATGTATGCTGTTTAACAACCTCGCGATTGCTGAACAAGAAAACGACACATTCATACTCCAACGCCGAGGTTAAGAGAAAGTCGATCCTGGTAACTGAAGAACTGATATAAAAACGATGATTTGAAAAGGCTTTTTCAGTTTCAGTAGAACTAGCATAGTCGAAGTACATCTGGATGCCTTTTTCTCTGATTATGCATTTTCAGTTGATTAGTAATCATCGTAATGCATTTTCAGTTGACTAACAATCGTTGTAATTAAAGTTGATGGAAATTCAAGCTTTTATTCTCGCGTTTTCAACTCTCATGGTTGCGCAGTGCTCAGAGGTGCCCTGCTATGCACACGTGTTCATTGGTTCGATCCTGTGTCACGTGCTCGGCAACCCATCCCAGGCTCAGCAAGTTGGAACCAGGCTTGCCTAGGAGGATAGCAGTGCTGACTTCATGTATCGGTCGACCACCGCAAGTCATTGTATAGGCCAGATATGCACTCAAACCACCTCTAACGATGATTCCCTAAAAGATTCTTCTGGTGTATTCGAAGATTTTGCGCCGACACTTTTAATATATTCCCGAACGAAATGATTACATACCAGAGGGGAAAACAGCGCGTTTCTGACGTGTGCAACCTCCCCACCTCCCCTTCTAGTTGGAGTGAGAGTGTGCGACCTACGTCGACAGTCGCTAACTCCATTTTCTCGTTAGTCTCTTTGTTTATTTGCTTCTTCTTTCCCTTCGTGTTATGCTCTCCGTACAAATGATCGTGAAACCACTCAAACATGACTTTTTCATTGTAGATGTCGATTTAAAACCCTCAAGAATCCACGGCTTTTCCTACACATAATGGATACCGATCAATGTCAGACAGTTCTTGTGCACTTGCCGAATCATAGTGTTGTTTACGATTTTTTTAGGTGCGTTCGATTCTTTTTCTAAGGCTAAGTCACCAAGTTCAAGCTGCTGGGAAAAGTTTTATGTTTTTCCAAAATGCTTTTCCTTCCAAATCAGTGCTTTGATTTCAGGGAGGTGCATCTCTTCTATAAACCAATCCATACATATTTGTCGATTATTATGTGCATATTTGGAACGATAGCTAATTTCTGCAACATTGTGGTGCTGACGAGGTACGTTTTTTCTTGGGTTCTTCCAATTTTCATTCTCTCGAATCTTTCCTTCGTCGACTTTACACCATTAATTAAAACCAAGTCGTTCTTTAATTTGATTCTTTATCTAGTAATTACCTGCACCATTCACATAATCAGCTACGGCTTCATTTTCGGGAATTTTTCAGAAAGAGAAGTATTATGTTTGTTTCTTCCTTCAAAAAGTAGCTCCATTCATTGGAATTGCTAAAATATTGGTGCCATAGGTGCTTAACAACCTCAGAGTTCTGCGCAACTCTGTCTAGTTCCATTCTCTAATGGCTCTTCTTATTTACAAATGGATCCAGTAAAACGAGCTCGTCACCTCAGCATAAAAATTTCGCCTAATTACCTAATTATAATCTCCTTATATGAGTGAGCAACAGATCAGCTGACGCCGAAAGGCAGGTCTAAGTCACTCTACTGGAAGAGTTATAAGTTGCGAATGACTTCACATTCCCTTTATACCTTAGATGGAAGGAACATTTGGTCATCAGAGCAAAAATTCCTTTACTTATTTACTACTGCTGGTTCTTTTCTTCGCTTTTTGCAGTCATTCTCTTTCAATGAGAATTGCTGAGTGAAACTCTTCGAGGTTAGGCGACAAATTTAACTTCTGATTTCACTTATTGTGAGCTTAAAACCCACAGTGGATTTCGTTGCGGTTGAACACCCTCGCCTGTTCTCCTCTATCAGTACGGTAAATCCCAGCACTTCAATAATCAATTCAGTAGTTCCGGCGATGGCAGCCTTCAGTTGCCCTCTTTCCACAGCCAAAGAAGGGAGTGCTTGGGAATTGAATTAGGTAATTAATTAATAAATTAGATTGCTTAAAATGAGCATCACTGCGAGGTTGTTCGCTATACACAGCGCTATAGAGGCACTTTCGTAAACAAAGGACTGCACGTCGTTTGACTAGCATTTCTTTTCGATATGCGGAATTTGAGAGAGGACTTTTCAGACGACAGATGCGCACGCCGGTGAATATGATCCTGACGGCAATGGCATGCTGCGACACGGTGGTGCTGTTCTCTAACCTAGTCTACACCACGCACTACCAGTTCGTCGCGTTCAAGCACTGCCATCCGAGGCACTGGAGCTACGGCTGGGCGCTGTTCCTCATCGCCCACGCGCACCTCTCCCTGGTCGGGCACAGCTCATCCGTGTGGCTGTCAGGTCAGTACGATTAGCCACAAGTACATAACACATTATCGAGAAACTTTGTCGAAGAAACGTAACACATTTTTGTGTATTCCACCTAAGCGATTTCGTCTGAAAACGTTTTCCTAGTGAATCACAAAACTAGTAAGCGATACTTCTACTTTTAACCCTTTTTTTGAAATATTGTTTCACCGAAAAAATAACTTTCCTATGCTTCCAGTATCTAAAGAACATCGTTATTGGCTAATTTTTTTAAAGCTCTCCACAATTTTAAGGTCCACTAAAGTACTTTTTATTCTAAAATATCAATTAATATTGAAAGTTCTACCAAATGTGGACAACATTAGACAGCGCCGTTGAAAGGTTTTCTAGTGGACGGTAATAGCCTGTCTAACCATTAGATTTATTTCGGCTAACAAAAGGAAGATATTCTTCTGTCTTCGATTTTATACTTCTTTATATATTTTTCTTCATCCTACTTCTTGACTTTTTTTAGTTCTGCCTTAGATTTTTTAAATCGTTATCCCAGTTCTGCTTTTTTTATAGGTTAATAAAACCTAACGAGGGAAATGTTGGTGGTATGTACAAGCGATCCAACCTCACTATTTTGAGGTCCATTCAACTTCGATTGCAAAACTCGCTCTTACTCTATTCTTTTAAACAATCCAGATTACCACAACGTTGCTGAGATATTTGCAAAACTCTGGACCGTGGGTGTCTATGGTGGGGAACGAACGCGCTATTATCCTTTCCAGGAAGTAACGCGTTCACCACCACACCATGCGGGTCCTTCGTTTCGCCTGTCTCTCAGCTATTTATATCGATCTTTGCCACAGCAATCACCCGTCAGCGAGATTGATCTGGGGCGCCCAAATCGGCATAGAACCCAGTTAAGCTGCGGCTGTAGTTGAAATCACAATGTTATGCCTTTTTATACTATAATTTTACTATAATTTCTATAATTTATAATTTCGCCTACTATAATTTCGCGGCAGGGTACCAAGCGAAATACAACCACAACGTTGCTGAGATATTTGCAAAACTCCGGTCGGCAGGTGAGGAACGAACGTGGGGAACGAACGCGCTATTGTCCTCTCCGGGGAGTAACACGTTCACCACCACATCACGACTTCCTTCGTGTCACCTTTGTTTCAGCTAGCTTTCGAATTTTGCTTATATTTTTTTCATGTAGATGGTTTTGAACTCACGAAACTAGCAAATTTCCAAGAGTTTTTAGGACATACAAACATGTACTTTGCCTCTATCAGATATTTCAGAGCAAAATTATTATCATCAAATATTGGGAAAATGTTTTAAACTGCAGTACATTGTTATTATAATTTTTTTTTCCTGGGTTACTAGCGAACTGTATCCTAGAGCATCAAAATTGCTAATAGAAGATTTGGAAAGACCCTATTACAACGGATTTTGACGATCCGTAAAACACAATGGTAACGGAATCCTTGTTATGACGTCGCTCATGTAACATTATACCTACACCGTGACTTTGCTGGCTGTACGAGACGTTCCGAAGTGACGGGAGAGTTCTGACGAAACCTTTTCGCAACTAGTCATCCACTTTTACACTTTTATAATTATCTGAAAGAATTGTCGCAAATACTGACCAGCGAGTTACGTTTAAGACGGCGGACAAAAGAGCCTGCAGAGAAACCGAATTCTTAATTTCTTCTCAGCTTTTACACCGTTTCTTGGAGGCTAAAGTTCCTGATTCACAGTTCTACAAGCTGAAACGCCCCAACATCACGACGAGGTGATAGCGCTATAGAATTTGCACTTATCCATATGAAAATTCTTGCTGGGACGGTTTCGAATGACAAAGAAGATTATTTAACATTAATCACAATTTAATTCGCAGAATATTTATCGTGTGCGTTGCCTCCGTTACTCTTTCTGTATTAGTTTATCCTGAAGTTCTTCATCTAGCGCATCCATCAAAAATTCTCGTCAATATGTCAGGCTTCTCCTTACACCCACTTTTTCGAGCTTACGGATGGACGGGCAAGTATGGGCGTAGGCATGTCGATTCGGATATCAATTAAATAGGCTCGAGGCAGCATAAAATGCTTGGTTGCTTTACTCCATCGAGGCAGCATAAATGTATCTGTGGTATTTTCGACATACCAGTATACGCCTGTTTTTTATGTGCAACTTAAACAGAATAAATGTGAGCGCTGTAAGGTGTTTTCTTGCCCAGCGGCGCCGCTAAGTTCATAGTATGTGATCTTTGCGTTTACTCTTTACTGGTGGGCTTTGCTCTTAGCTATGTGCTCAGCTTTGGATATAATCATTTTTCTTTTATGGTTACTATAATTACGGGATGCGAAGAAGGTTGCATCCAGGGTTGGGAATGGGCAGCTCCATCACCACTCTGAGCAGACAGTATTTGCTACAAAACGTTATGTCGATGCTCTGGAAGATGACTGCTCTTTACGATCACTATTTAATGATAGGTGCAAACTAGGCATCAGATATAATGGAATTGTTTAAATCTCGGCTTCGCCTTGAAAGAGATTTCGAGTTCACCGCGGTTATTCTGGTAGATCCGTTCACTTTTTCGTTCATTTCGTTGCGGACAAAACTTTTTATTGAAGTTCTGGAAGGACACTTTTTCTGTTTGGTTTGGGAAGCTGCATAATCTTAAAAGGGAAGAAAAATGTTTCTATTATGGGAGCTTTTCAAACATAAAACCGGTGGATGTGCTGAGTATTTAAAAGCAACTGTGTAAAGAGGAATTGAATACATTACTGGACTTTTCGTCCAATACAGCAAGCGTCTAGACGATTTTGGAGAATTTCATTACTCTGTGGTATCGCAATCTCATTGTTGTCACGAAGATCGAGAATTGCGGTGAATATGAGGAAAACATCTCCTTCTAAATCTAGTTTGGTTGAAGAATCCTCCTCATTTGCAGTGCTAAAATTTTTTCGGATATTTCTGAAAACTAGGTTCCACTCCCGCTGCGAAGAAGATTCTATCTTATACGTAAAACCTCACATGGGATTGAAATATTTTTCGTTGTTACTTAAGCAATTCATGCGGATATAAGAAGTTTCCGCTCCGAAGTTCCTGAATATAAAATTCTTCGATTTAAAGAAAAAAGTCCAAAAATTACAACTTGATATTTAAGAAACGCTGTAGGAAGTAATAGGACTAACAGATTTTGATTTTGCTATTTCCTCTCAAAATTTCTTACTGAATTAGAGTGCTAAGGTTTTTCCCTTAATTCACGCTAGGGGAAATAAAGAGTGAAGCTAAATTGTGTCGAAGTGTTTAAATGTCTTGGAGCAAAAACAAATCGAAGGAAGCAAACACCATGTTCTAGTCCTACGTCGTTGTCTTCAACCGGACTCGTACTGTGACTTACATTCACTTCAAAGATTCGAAAAGCAGTATATTGTCTACTATTATAAATAGTATTACAATCATAGGAGACGCATGTAGTGTAGTGATTAGACTCTTTACTGCACACATTGTCGTTAGTTCGATCCACTCGGATCTAACCAAGTCTTTCATCTGTTAAGAATTGATCAAAACCGAACGTATTATACTTTACACTTTAATACAAATATAAATATAGCGAGTGTCATAACTTGCCTTCCAAAATGCTCAATCTAGCGGACTATTGTTAGAAAGAAATGGAAACAAATATTTTAAAATAATGGAATCTTTGGTATAAACCGCATGTAGTCACTTTTTGTTTACTGCTTATTCTTTTTTAATGGCAGGGTATTATGTGAAGTATAATCATAATGTTGATGAGATATTTGCAAAACTCCGGACCGCTGATGCCTGTGTTGAGGACCGAATACGCTATTACCCCTTCAGGAGGCTATGCGTTTGTCGTTAACCTATAGGTGGTATCAGCAGTCACTCATCAGAAGGTTTAATCTGGGGAGCGCAAATCTTTTTTACTTGATTTTTTATAAGAAAAGAATAAGCGGTAAATAAAAAGTGATCACATTGTGATTTATAGGACAGCTTCACCTTAACTGGGTTCATTACCGATTTGTGCTCCACACATCAATCTCGCTGGCAGCTCATTGCTGACACCACCTATAAGACAATAAGACGGCTGAGAGAAAGGCTAAACGAAGGAGACGCATGGTGTGGTGGTGAACGCGTTATCCGGAAAGGGTTACAGCGTGTTCATTCCACATAATGGACACTTGCGGTTCGAAGCTTCGCAATTATCTTAGAATCATTGTTGTTAACGAAATCATTATCCTTTATTTCAACAGCTGCTTTTTCCTAGAAAGGGTGTATCGGTATAACTCTAGTATAAGAACGTAATTCAGATATGCGATAGAAAGGAATCAGGCTTTCGGTATAAATTTGAAAATTTGCTTAAAGTTTTTCTAACTAGTCACTTGATCAGATGACATTTCAGTGATGCTCGCTTTAATACGGTATATGACGTTGAGAAGTCGTGGCAATGCTGGCGGTATACAGGTTATCAGACGTTGTTCTTCAATAGTATTTATTAAAAGTCTGAAGCAAATATGTCTACTTCTCACAGTTTAAGAGTTTAGCTAAGAAAAACACTTAATTCAAATTTTTCATCTTGACAATTTTGGTCTAAAGGTCTGATGGTCTAATGGTGATCTTCTAATCCTAAAGTTGTTTTCTAGTGATAGAAGTTATGATAGTGATAATAAATTTCACCTAATTGTTGATTTTGCAAAAATCATTGACAAGGTTTACTTTAGAGTGAACAGTTGCAATTTTTTTTAAAGTAACCGGAGTTTATAATTTCTGTGGGTCCAAGTACACCTATCATTCGATTCTTTGTTTCATATTCGTCCTCACCGAAGGTTTTCCCATTTTGCATGTGGTTTCGACTGCTGAACGAGGATTTTGGTCTTCATTATGAATGGTCTTGAGTGATGGTCGAGTTCAGTCTCCTTATCCTGGGAGAGCTATTCGTGGTGTTTCCAGTTCTTCACCACAGCCAGTCGTTGGTCTTTATGGACAAGGGGGAGTGCTTCCCAGACTTTGCCAATGTGCCAACATCGCAGAGATGGGTGCCTTTATTGGCTCCGAACGGGGCCCAACGTGGCCCCACCAGGCCCCTTATTGTTGAATGGCCTCTTCATCTTCGTGCTTCGCTCGTCGTTTACGCGCTAAGTTAAAAATCAAAGAGGGTTAATTTATAGTAAATCGACAAATCGGCACCATAAGAAGCTACCTTGGTCTTACAGTAGATTTTAATTATGTCCCTCTGATTTCACTGATGGAGGAGAAGAGAATTGTCGAGGCAAGAAGTTATCGAGGCACTGTATTTGTTTAATATACCGATTTTAAGGAAAATCATCGGTGGTGCATGTCCGCTGTTCAGTTTTTTTCGAGTTTATTTGTTATTTTCAGTTTTTATGGCTCGATTGTAGCGTTTTCTGTAGAAGAAAAGGGATTCCTTTCTGTAGCCGACGCCCTAGAGTTCGCAAATCTTTTGTGCGAAGAAAGTTTTGTGTTGTTTTCAGGTTTCCGAATGTATTAAAAAAGCAGTATAAGGCCTATAGCATGTACCGGTTACGCTTTCATTTGTTTCCTTCATCACGGTCACCCAATGCTATGAATTCCAGAGCGAAGTTCCACTGGAATTGTGAATTCTTCGTTCGTAGGAGACACATATTTACGAGCTGCTTCATATATAGAGATTCTCTTGATTTCGCCAATTTTAACAGTGTCATCTATGAAGACAAATGCAACTGTTATAAGGTTTACAGCATTTTTCGTATTCTATTAAAGTGGATGTTTGTGTTGGTAGTTCAAAGGAAAGGGTGTATATGGACAAAGAAGTACAACTAGGTTCGGAAGATTTGATTCAGTAAAAGCTTGCTACAAAAACATTGCAAAATATTTATTTGCAATTCAAGAGGAAGGACAATTTAATCCGAATTCGTGGGTTGACGTTTTCCACAATCTCGGTGCAGACCATCAAGAGTTTTGCTGGTGTCGTTCAGAATTGTTTTATCATTCCCTTCATAGATCACGTCGGCCGGCATAAGCAACATTCCCAGCAAATGGACATTTTATCTGCAGCATTGAGTCGGTTCAATATCCTCTTTATTTTGAGTAATATCTGACTGACTTGATAAGTGGAAAAACACCAAGAAAAAAGGCGTTCGTTTCAATTCCAAAAATGAACACGCGTCATTTTTTGCTTATCTGGAAATAACTGACCACGCTCTGGAAAATATACAGTAAAAAGAACTTCTCATAATGTAAACATATGTGCTCTAACGATTTGTTTCGAATTTCTGGGAATTCTTTTGAAGACGCTGTTGCCTCGATAACGTGGCTTGGAGTATTTACCATGCTAAAAATAAATTCTTGCGTTAAAAAGAGTGATGTTTCTAGCAGAACACTACTCGTCTTTTTGTTGCACTGATGATATAATTTAATGCGAAAATAGTGGCTAAATTTTAGATGCGGACTGTCGGACCTCTGCTTATCACTGCTTTTCTTAAATTATGCATTTTTAATAATTTACACGTCTTTATGAACTGATCTGGTTGTGTTGATGCGAGGCTGGCGAAATCACCGAAACGTCAGCCGTCGACCAACAACAACGAGAGCTATGCCCTAACCTCACATCAGCTCAGCCAGATCAGTTCATAACGGCGTATGAATAAATATATCGAGTATTTATGCCGAGGTCTATGGAAAGTCGGGCCTTTGAGTCCCTTTTTCATTATTTTAAATGCCCTTGTTTTTAATCATTTTACGCATTGTCTTTATTTTCAGATTGGCTTAACTCATTCCTACTTTGCCATTGGAGCCACAATTTGCTTTATTGCCATCGTAAACGCTCCGAATTTTCTCACCTATAAAATTCACGAGATACGGTAATGGGCCATATTCATGACCTAAAAAAAGATTTAGTTGATTTCAAACAAAACTTTTTCAGCTCGAGCTCGTTTAAATTTGCTTTATAAGATAAAACATTTGTAAACTTCAGTAACCAGATTCATGAGCAAAAGATTTCCGTTTAGCCTCAAGCATTGTTAATCAAGTGAAAGTTTTTGAGCTTTCTTTTAGCGCTCAATTACTACTCATTTGTTCAATACCTTATTTGTTATTTTGCAACTAATCTTCTTTATGATCTGATTGCCACCTACTAAATACGTTTCTATACCACCAAATTCTTCTATATACTCTTGTGATCTGAATTGTAGAAATATTCTCTCGGTGGGGAAATAATCACTACTTGGATACTTGGATAGCCCGCGCTCACTGATCGTACTGGCCGTAGCAAAATTTCCATTTTTCAGAGTTTTGCTGGTTTAGCCATTGTGGTTCCCTGGAGTTCCGAAGTCAGCATAACCAAGATCTACTCTAGGTCGTCACCACGACAGACAGTCACCGCCCTTGTGGATCAGAGCGAGATTTGCTACCATGCAACTAATTTGATGCTAGGACGGTGGTAGTTCTTGGTGGAAGTTTACTCCTAGCTGGGCTCCCTGATGGAAACACCTGACTCCTCGGCTTGGGAGTCTCTGCTGGGGAATGAATTCACCTGCTCTACATCGCAGCCCGACACCAAGGAACACATTTCGGTAACGATGAGGCTGTAAACCGTTAGGAGGTGTTCTATCCGTTGGGAAATGTTTATAATAGCCGTTATTTTTCTTTATTTTATCAAAATAGAATCAAATAAAATGTAATGCAAAGTAGAATGCAAAGTCTGTGGTAATAAAATATTGGATGTGGTACATTAAAAACAGCAATAGATATGGCAAAACGAATTAACAATTTCGTGAAATGTCGCCATATTGCATAGTTGGATTTGAGGTTGAACGACACTTGCGTAGTCAAGGATCCCTCACTTGTCGGCGCCGCGGCGTATCTACCTGGGATAGCGGAGATCGCGTTGGCACGACACTGTCTCGTAAGCGTTCCGATTTCTTTTTTACTAGTTTTGATCACTGTTCTTACCACTCAGGCAGTATCCTGAGAGGAACTGCAAGTTTTCGGAATTTAGTGAACATGGTGTTTCAGGTGTTTCGACTAGTGTTTTGGATTTCGGGTCTCGTCTTTAAAGTAATACCGTGCTGCCTTTTGTCGCTGTTCGTGTGGTTACTGCTCGGCATTCTCAAAGAGGTTTCATTTCTTTGCTAATCGATTAGTATCGTATTACTTTCTATATTTTTTGAACAATTTCGAGTCTTTTACCACTATGTGCATACTAATGCTAACATTCTTTTGCTGCCTATTATTTTTCAGGCAAGATATAGTGCAAAATACAACCACAATGATGCTGAGATATTTACAAAACCCCGCACCGCAAGTATTTGCAAGGGGAACGGACGCGCTATTTATTACCCGCAGACACCTACGATCCAGAGTTTTGCAAATATCCCAGCATTATTGTGGTTATGTACATACTATTATTTTGTAGACCAACTCTCTACTTAATAGGTTTTTAGGTGAGTAGGCATTCAGTTGGGCAAAAAATTCTTGCCAACAAGCCGTCTATTGCATGTGCGTAAATATAAAAACGTTGTTCTTAGCGTAACCTATAGTAAAATGCATTTATTAAAAGTATAGAGTGATGAAGGGCGCGTGTGGCGCAGTGGTTGGAGGCGCCACTGCGACACGCGTGGAATGCATCCCCGCGCACATGGCCCACCAAGCCTTCCATCCTTCCGGGGTTGGCAAATTGGTACCAGACCTGTCTGGGAGGATAGCAGCACTGACTCGATACATCGGTAGGCCACCGCGAGTCATTGTATAGGTCGGATATGCATTCAATCACCTCCAACGATACTAAGTGAAGTCGAACGTATGGCGCATCCCTCAGGGATTGATCAACGCCGAGAGCTCTATCCGAGCTCTATAAAGTGATGGCGATTGACTTTCATTAGTTGGAAGTCAGAACTTCCGATCTGACTCGTGAAGATGGGATTACATCGAAAAGGGTAGATTAGTTATTAAATTGTATTTAATGTAGAACTGAAGTGCTTTCAATAAACTTTACTCTTCCTCTCGAATTTCAGGTGAAGGCGAATCGACAGCGGTTGTTGCAGAGCTCCCATTCTGTAAGCAGCAATGAACGTAATGGAAAGAACTCTCTCTGTTCGAGTACTGATAGATTTAAGCACCATCGAACTTCCAGTATAAAGTGATAATTCTTGCTGCTTTTTTCAAGTTTTGTAGCAATGTCTACACTATTTAGTTTTGTTGTCGACATAACAAGAAATTTTTGCAGATGTTCGAGTATTGGTGGATAAATATAAAGCTGTTGCTTTTATTTCTAGAGTGGCAAGCAGAGAAAGGGTTGATCGAACAACGAATATGCTGTTGGCCATCGTCTTTGTGATGCTGTTCACTGAAATGCCTCAGGGAATTATGGCTTTACTGTCGGGTTAGTTTTCCATCGTTCCAAGCACTTTTCTGAGATACATAGATGATACACCACATGTGATACGATACCAATGATTACTTTGACCTGCTCATTGTAGCTCCAGCCTACTGATCTGTAGCCTTCTCTCCTATTGATGTGTTGAGTAATGTTTAAGCGTGGTATTTCCTAGAATCTTGTGATAATCATGCCAGCATATTCCCGAAATTTCCAAAAAAAGCATGCACCCACCCACACTAGTCAGAGGAAAGTTACCTGCTATGCGACTCACATTCTTCTTAGAGAGCTGTGATTGATTTAATGGCAATTACTGATTAGAGGCGGGAAATTTATGAAATTATCAAACAAAACCGATTTGATTACCATATTTTAAACTTTCCATTATTAATAATAAAAGTTGAAGCTTTCGGCGTTGATCAATCCCTAATGGAAGCGCCATGGATTCTACTTCATTAAGCATCGTTTATAGGTTATTGAATGCATATGTTGCTTTTACAATGACTCGCGGTGGCCTATCGATGTATCGAGCCAATGCTGCTATCCTCCAAGACAAGTCTGGTACCAATTTGTCAACTTCGGAGGGATGGAACGCTTGGTGGGCATGGCCGCGGTGACCGATTCCATGTGTGTTGCAGGACGGCTCCGACCACTGCGCCACAGGCGCTCTAAATCTTATTAATACTTACATAAAATTCATCTGTTATCTCTGACGATCTAGTGATGCAGTCTTCTCAGAAGTTCAGTTACTCAGTCATGCTTACAGTCAGCTTGTTTTTCATTCAAAGTCATTGCGGGTTCACTTGTTTAGGGCTAGTGAGCACCAACTATTTATTTATTTATTAATTGAAAAGTGTATAATACTTTTAGGAAAGTTCCAACTAAGACCATTCTCTAGTACGATGGATTCTAGGTATGATATCCCAGGAATTTCGCCGGCACATCTACAATAACCTTGGCGATCTCTTGGATTTGTTCTCATTGTGCGAGGCTTGCATGTCGTTCATCATCTATTGCTCAATGAGCGGACAATTCAGAAACGTTCGTGATTTACTTTTCGTCAAAATTTTTCTTTTTTGATCGGCTATTTTTCACTATACAGTACAAACCCTAAAATGGAGTTTCCTTGCTTTCGTTTTGGGCTATACGCAATTGTGATTGACGGAAATATTTTGAAGAAAACCGAACAGTATTTCGGAAGAAAAAAACTTTGAAGTCGCAAAAGAAAGCACATCATTATACCTGTTAAGTGGACAAGAGGTTGACATTGCATATTTTTGTGAAGTTTTCAAAATACAAGAGCTATTTCTAATGGTCCAGGGGACGGATAGCACGGTGGTAGTGATGTCCGTTATCACGAGCATGGTGTTAGTTCGATTCCGTTCCGGACCAACCAAGCCTCCCATCCCTCCGGGGTCGGCAAATTAGTACCGGACTTGTCTGGGAAAACATGACTGTCTGCAATCCAGTTGGGAACGCTCCAGCCTCGCTATCCCAGGACTCCAGGGAAAATTGATCGACTAGCATTCTACAACATTCATAATGAAATGAAAATCCTCAAGCAGCAACCAAAGCCACACGTAACGTTGGAAAATTTTCGTGGATACTGGATGCGAGGAAACGAATTGAATGTGAGAAGTGCTGGGTTCCGCACAATACATGTAAAGACGGGCCAAATAAAATGAAACAAATAAAAATAATCTCTAGTCGTCCTCCCAACGGTTTACTGCCTCCTCTTGGCTGGGAGGTGCTCCTGTGTGTCGAACTGTGATGTACAGTTGCAGGATTCGTCTCTTAGCTGGGTCTTCCAAGCTGAGGAGTCCGACGTTCCCACCAGGAAGCCTAGCTGAGAGTAAACAAATACCAGGATCCACCACCGTGCTGGTACCAAACTAGTCGCAAGGTTTTAAATCTCACTCTGTTTCACAAAGGCGGCGATTTCCTGCGGTGGTCATCACCTGGGGCAGACTTTGACCAGGTTGTACTTGGCACTCCAGAGGACCACTATGGCTAAAACCAGCAAGTCTCCGAAGAATGGAGATTATGCTGAGGGCCTGCACAATTAGTGAGGACGGGCATCCAAGTATCAATGATACATCAATAAATAATACAATAACATGTGGTTATACGACACTAAGTTCGATTCTTACTTATTTAAGTATTTATTTATTCGCATCAATTCATTCTCAAAATCAAGTTCTTGGCAACAGCTTTTATTGTAAATGTCACCGCTGCAATTGTGACATTGAAATCTTATGTCTCCTAACCTTCAGGGTTTCAACTATGAATATTCCAAAGAACAATGGGGTTAAATTAGCGGAAGGTTAGGTTTCCTTAAAGGTTTTCCATTTAGAGAAGGTAAATGACGGTTTTGGAAAATTTTATGGTACATGAATCCTCTGGCATTCATCTTCAGTTTTCGGTTTTCTGGTGTTCTCTCTGGCATTAATTTTATGTTATGACGCAGACAATAATGTAATGAGTATGAAAATAGCATTAATAGAAGAAAAGCTGGTCGATTAAGTGGAAAATTTGAAATGGGTTATCTCTTTCATAGGAAAGAGAAAAATCTACCTCTGGGTTTTATACTCTCAAAGAGACACTCAATATTGATTGCTGATGGCAAAAAAGATCGATAGAAGTAGCTGAGATATACGCAAAGCGAAGGACCCGGATGGTGTAGTGGTGAAGTGCGCTGCTCCCCGGTAAGGACAACAGCGCGTGTTCGTTCTCCACTGCATACACCTGTGGTCCGGAGTTTTGCAAATATCTCAGCATTTCATACGACTCAATATTGAATCCATCTGACATATGACGCTAGCAAGTTTTGCACACGCAACACCAAAGCCGAAGACGAATCGCGAGAATCACAGTAAAAGTGAATTGAGTAAACAACTGGTAGCATTATAGGGCACAATAAATAAAAGAATCAGCGCACAGCGAGTTACTGTGCTAGGGTAGATCAAATGGATCGATATGAGATGGTGTCTGTAGTCACAGTGATCATTCCACGCGACGTTTATTTAATGATTTTATCCGAAGATCTCTTTTATGCACTGCTGTTGAAGATACTATGAACTGAACGAATAGGCTTTGAGTTAACAACTAGTAACCGTGCCGGAGTAACTTACTGTTGCAGGAGTTCCGCCGGGTGTTCATCCCGAAATCGATGCATTGCCCTCCACACAGCTCGCCGTCGATGCGTCGTCCATCTAAAGCTTACACGAAAATGACGCACTTGAGGCCGAACGAAATCGACGAGAACGGGTCGTATTCTCACTACGATTCGGATAAAACTGGCGCCATCAAGGTCGGTAAGCAGCGTTTCCCATCCTTATATATCTCTACTCTGCAAAATCACATGTTGTTAGCAAGTACTGAGTAAACTTTGTCAAAAAACAATGATATCTGGCATCTCAGTTGAGTTTCGTTTTTCTTTCTCACTTTTCTTATTTTTTCTTTTTATTTTCTTTTATTTCACTACTATTGCACTGTTAATTAATTTCACACGACCTTGTATTGCATCTACTGTGTAGATCCTTGCACTTCATTCAATTCGTTCCCTCCTATCAACCATCTACGGAGCTTGCGAGCTCTCCGAACTTTTTGTGTCTGAGTTTGACTGCTACTTGAAGATTTTTCCGTCTTCGTCACGAATGCCGTTGAATTACGGTCGAGTCCAATCTTCCCGGAGCCTTTAGATAGCCGTGCTAAGTGATCCTCATATGGAGTAGAGAGAGTTAACTTGTCCCAGACAACTCTGTTATCAGCTTCTTGGTCTTGAATAGATGATGAGTTTAGTGAGTCTGGGGCGATGTGCAACCAGTGCCGAGCTCGTGAAGAGCGGCTGATAACTCAGTTGATTTAGTAGAATTAATTAAATCACTATCGAAAAATTCGTTACTTTTATTTTTAGGAAGGGATGCGCCCAGCGCAGTGGTGGTGTATTCACTAAGCCGGCGAAACAACCTACTCAGGTGCTTGTTCGAGGTCGTCCCAGGCCAGCCAAACCTTTCATCCCTCCGGGGTCGTGAAATTTAATTCGAGACTAGTCTGGAACAATCTTTCCAATCCAAACGAGAACACCACAGCACGGCTATCTCAGGGCTCCATAGGGAATTTGCTCGAGCAGCGCTGGACGACAACAACGAAGACGACAAAAATCCTCGAGCAGTAACCGAATAGTACACAAAAAATTTCACATACCTTCTTAAATGGTACATACGAGGGAGCGGATCGAATACAACAAATGCTGTGATCCACGCAATGTGAAACATGTGATGTCGGGTCGTGTTGTGAAAAAATAAATATAAGTGTTGAAGATTGTGACTAAATGCCATTCGGTTAAATGTCCATTGAAATTGTTATATTATTAAGGAGGTCCATGTTGAAAATGCAAAACATGCTGATGCCGCCCATACAACTTCGTCACCGGGCCTCTCGACGTGCGTCCAAAAGGAGACATGCTTGGGTGAAGACGAGCGATGTCACCTAGTAGACATCCAAGAAGCCATTATCAATGGCAGCATTAAGGAGCAACAGTTCAAGAATATATGAGTTTTATGGAGACCTTTGGGATCATTAACTGTGATCACGACTTCGTTTGTAAAGTGCATATGTTGGACACGTTCGTATGGAATTCGTAATAAATTCCAGTCAATATCGTTTTCGATTTAGCATAATTTTTCTGTAAATCACAGAATTTAAACATGAACAATGGCTTGTCAGCCGGCATCAAAAATCAATAGTTGAGGGGATTTTCAATGAAAATCAACGCCTTTATATTTCATGTACGCTGGTTGATAGCTAATGTCTTATGTCTATATCGTTTTGATCACAAAGTCTCAGGCTCAGAATCCTTCCTCGAGAACTTTTTTCATGCATGAATTTCCACTGTCAGTTGTCTACTCACGATGATTCATGCATATTGCCATGTTTCGGGTTAACCTATATACCGAATAGTTGAGCCTTTTTGAATCGTTTAACAATCAATGATCGATTCTAGCCAACGGAAATCAGTACTTCTAAATCCAAAGTTCTGCGTAACTGTATATTAAAAGAAAGATCCCATGACGAGCTCAAAGATATCTACCGAATCCTAAGACGAGTTTCACAGCTGGCTGTTCGTTTCCGTTTTTCCTACAAAGTAATATTGACATTGTTCTAATTACTTATCCGAGGCACACCGGATTTCATTGGAAGTTGTAATCAACGTCTTTAATATTAATAACAGGTACTATAAGATTTGTGAATAAAGGTGAGAATCTCGAAATCCACAGTCGAATCGGTAAGAAAATAACACAACGATGAAAATATTTTGTTTCGCTTCGTCGATGAACTCACAGCTTTAGCTTATAGCTTCACCGATAGGGTGGTGAATGCAAACGACGGGGCTCAGCAAGGGGCTATTCTGATTTTCCTTAAAACAGTTTTGTGGTTACATAACTTATAGAAAGCAGCTTTTATTGTAATGGTATCAAGTTTCAGTTAGTGGAGAATGCTTCTGAACGGTGATAGGACAAAAGAGTCTCTAAACTCTATAAACCTCTGCATACATAGTAGCTGTATTTATTTATAGATTCTTATGAACTGCTCTTGTTGAAATGATGCGAGTTTGGTGAGAGTTGCCGTTGTTGTTGCTGTTTTTGTTGTCGTTGCTGTTGCTGTTGGTGTTGTTGGTCGATGGCTGACGTTTCAGCGATTGCCCCTTCTTCAGAGCTTGGACGTATTTAATGTAACAATAGCCTTACAATTCGGTGAAATATCTATAGTAATAATGAAGCTCTAATGTATTGTCTCACGGTTCTAACGGTGTAACCTAAATATCACATTGGCCAAAAAATAGACATGTCACCGAATTGCATGACTATTGTTACATAAAATACGTCCATCCTCTGAGGAAGAATACGTAATAGTTCAAAAACATCTGGGGTTTTGCTTGAAGTGCACATATTCAAGGTCATCAACATTGTGGTTGTATTTCGCTTAGCACCCTGCCGTGAAAACTGTGGTAGGCAGAAAATAAAAGGTATAACGTTGTGATTTTAACTACAGTTTAACTGGGCTCAATGCCGATGCGCGCTCTCCAGATCAATCCCGCTGACAGGTGATTGCTGATGGCGCTGATCGATAGAACAAGCAGAGAGACAAGCAAAAGGAGCATGGTGTGGCGGTAAACGCGTTACTCGCCGGAAAGGACAATAGCGCGTTCGTTCCCCACCATAGACACCTGTGGTCCAGAGTTTTACAAATATCTCAAACATTTAGATAATTCATGTTTCCGGGGCTTCTTTATTTTTTGAGGAATCCGTCAAAAAAAGAATACACAAGCAGAAAATATAAAAACAAGAGTCCGTAATAGTTCCTCAGACTGCCGGTATTTCCGGGGCTTCTAGGGGCGCGTTTAACACAGTAGTTTGGATACTCTTCAGTGATTGTCGGTACGCTTGCGCTTTGGTCAAGTCGAGCCCTTCACCTGTTTGGGTTTACAAATGCTAGCAGACTACTTCAAACAGATTAAGCGCTGAGTGGCTACATTGGTAAGCATTCGCACCTTTTTGGTCCAAACATGCATACCTTTGCAATGCTTAGTAGAGTCCAATGAATGGTGCAGTCCTCAGAACTTGATTAACGTCAAGAGTTGTATCTCTTGTTTGAGCATTGGTTGCGAATAATAAATACTCTTTATCCACAACTTTTCCCATTGACAATGTTTCGATGAATAATCTTTATGTCACACATCATTACTTCATAGAATTCGTAACAATACAGACTATGGAAGCAGAAAGCGCGCGCGAAGCAGCGACGACAATTCAAAACGAAACTTAAGAAATTTGAAACCTAAAGTGCAACAAAGAGCACCAAGAAAAAAAAGTCGATCACATCGTGAATATGGAAATGCTTAGCTTCATACAATAATATTACCACCACAAAGAGTTTGCTCTCAGAAAGTCGGATAAGTGAGGCAGGCAGGGGATACGGGCGGGACGCGGGATTTTAAATGAAAAATCATCGCCGTACATACATCATAAACATTATCGCAGGTAATCATTGCACTAGAAAAGAGAAAAACACAAAATTAGAAAAAATGAGGAATGTAAGGAGATCGATTGTGACCAGGTACTTTTGTTAACAACGGAACATGTTCGTGCTGACATCGTTGCTGAATCAGGCGGTTCGTTGAGTGTTTGAGAGGTTACGGTAACCTTACGTGCCCTTCTTGTGGTCTGGTGGGGCTGATATTGTAACGGAACGTTTGACTTGGTCGGCAAGGCTACGAGCTGGAGACATTGAGCAGTCTCGTAAGGGCACGTTTGAGGCAAATTCACCTAAAAGAATCTACACCGTACACGCAAACACCTTTGAAAAAAGTGGATGGGCGGTTTGTAACAAATTAGAACGTAACTGGTGTCATCTCAGTACTCCTATCACCGCTATTAGCTACATAACATAAGATTTGCAAATCGATTCGAATCCATTAAAATCAGAAAAAGTTTTGTCTAGTTTCATCGTTTAGAGAAGTCCAACCTCCCAACGGTTTACCGCCTCATCGTGGCTAGAAGATCTCCCTGGGTGTCGGACTACGGTGTATGGCAGAGGGATTCATCCCCTGCAGGGACTCCCAAGATGAGAAGGAGTCCAGCGTTTCCATTAGGAAAGATCAACCACCGTTCTAGTATCAAATTAGCTGCATGGTGGCAAATCTCCCTCTGATCCACAACAGCTGCGATTGCCCGTGAAGGTGAAGACCTGGGGCAAACTTTGGCCACGCTGACATCGAGATTGCAAGGAACCACAATGGCTTATGCAGGAAATCTCAGACAAAATTGAGATTATGTTGGGATCTGCACAACCAGTGAGGACGGGCCATTCAAGTATCAAATAAGTAAAAAGAAGTTCAACAATCTCCAGAACTAGCAAATTTAAGTAGATTAGTTACGGATATTCAACAGTGCCGTTGTGGACTTTTTGACCAAGAGTAATTTCAACTAAACCAATCGTCACATAAAATGCTGCAAAAAACAAAATCAAATGCTATGTTTCACCTAATTTTCAGGGTCCCGCCAGCAATAGAGAACTGACCTAAAACGCTTTAATGTGACAACACTATTCTTTGGAGAGAAAAACAAGTATTCGTTTATATAACAGTTTTTAAACATTTTGGAAATCCCATTCACGAGATGAATAAGACGAGATTTATAAGATTGATGCGAAAATAAAGCATTTCCATAATCGTTTGTAATTCGAAGATTACTTAAAATATGAAAAATCTCAATAGATGGGTTCACCACAAATTGGAATAGGAGCAAAAATATCACAGTCATGAGTCTGGACTTCCTTTCATTGAAATTCAACAAAAGCTACCAATTTGCCACATCGTCATCGGTAAACCTAGCTACGAGCAAACCAGTACGAGAGTCTGTCACTGTCGTCCTGGCAGCAACATAGACCGGCTTTCGAGAGTTTAGTGAAGGGACTACTCAAGAGTCTACTCTGGATCTGCTACTCAAGAGAGTCGTTGGAAGTAGGTCGGCATAATACTCAAGCATTGTGACAGGCGTTGAATTTCGCTTTCCTCATAATAAAGTGAATAAAGAATAAAAATAACACCTCGCGTTTGCTCAACAAGAATGCGAAAATTACTTGATCAATGCCGAGGTTAATAGAAAGTCGGTCGTGGGAGTGTGGAGTAGTATTTGGACCGAGACCAAGCTACTAAGGTATTAGAAAAGCCGAAGGGAAAAAAGTTATAGCAAATGTTTAGCGGACTGCAGCCAGAACAGAAAACCAAGCGCACTTTTTTCAGTCGTGACGCAACAATTTCCACAGAAGGTAACAACACTGTGAAATGTTCAGAAATGGCGGCGCATGGATTCAAACAACGCTTCACCACTCGTGGCAGAGCTAATACTGCAGATGTTGAACAAAGTGAGCTATGATACTCTCATTAATTCAACGTAGGTAGTGGATCCCTCGCTACTGTTTTTTAAGTACTGTTTTCTAAACTACTTCTTTTCTTGACAACTATTAATTAGAAGAAATAAACAGCCAACCTAGTGTTAAAACGCTTCTGAAAAACTCGTCACTTCCAGTACTTCAAAACCTTACACTGTGCTACGACCTGTAACTTGAAAAATTTTAATTGTTCAATTCTTTTTATTTTGGTAGAAAAATAGCGGACAGACAGACGAAAAGATGGACCGGCAAGATGCGGTGGTGAACGCTTTATCCCCCGGAGAGGATAACAGCGCGTTCGTTCCCCACCTCAGGCACCTGTGGTCCGCAGTTTTGCAAATGTCTCAGCATCATTGTGGTTGCACTTCATAATTTGATTATCTCTTCATTTAAACAAAAACTGCTAAAACATTAACAATTTAAAACGAATTGAAAGTATATTTAAAATAACAATATTGGAAGAAATGTCTGTTTACGTGTTGGTTTTAAGGACTCAGTTGCCATTTTTTGTATTTGGTCTTAATAATCCAGCTAAATAAACAAATATGTATGTACACATATGCACATTCACATGTATACACATGCAAATATATGTACATATATATGTGTATACATATATACATGCATGCTTATACAGGGTAATAAATGACGTCATTCAACGTCACTATGTCGGAGTCTCCCAAGCAAAAAGCAGAACTTCTGGTGATTAACAAAACTACTAGAGGTCTGACTAGACTGACTGACTATAAGACAGAAACCAACCAGGAGCATTCGAATTCCCACTTGGTCGGTAGAAACACACAACAGCGACACAATTCTTTGTCTGATTCCATGTCCTGGCGGCTCCCATTTCCGTTGTGTCTCGCCAGACCATTTGAGAAAAACGTTGACATTCTGAAAAGAACTAAGCAATTTACTGTATAAAAATTTTCCAAAACTATTTACAAGTGCTTTTTCTTCACATATGTTCGGACTCTGCTTGGAAATTATCAAAAACAGGGTTCAATTTTCGCTGAAAATTTGGGAAACTTTGGCAGCACTCATTTACATAAATGGTGGCATGGAATGAATGTGCAATGACCTCTCAATTCCGCCTCAGCTTCATGAATTATTTGATATGAACAAGTGAAGTATAGTAGTTATATGCTCTCTAACTGTCTCTCAATATTTAAAAAAAACGATAAAAATCCTACTCGGGTTCCAACGCGGTCGATCGAAATCGAACTGACCGGCCTCGGATTCCCAACCGCTCACCACCTCGGCACCAGTCGGAAGGTGTGACTGTTCATTAGCTTCCGCTAATATAATATTTTCGCCAATTCCTTAACATCTACATTTTATAAGCACAACAATTCCATTACAAACATATATTAAAAAGTTGTATTTAATTTGGGTGCCAAAAATTTTTTTAAAAGGAAGTCTATACAAGTGACACACCTGGTAATTCAGGATACAATATTCGCCCTCGGTCGGAGAGTTTCACTGCCCACGCGTGCGCCATGTCGGCTAACTCGGCCGACCAGGCCAATGGGGGCATACCGTATCTGAAGTTGGGAATTTTCTTCGAGATGTTTGGAAGTGGGGAACTCCAGACCGAACAGAAACGTTATTAATTTCCACGACAAATGAAGAGCAGAAGGTTTTGCAAATAAGTTTCCAATCGTGAAATGAGAACGAGAGGAAAGGAAATGTGAAACATGAAAAAATAAGAAAAAGAAAAGAAAACAAAGGTGCATTTTGAATGTGAATGTACAACCCTCTTTTATTTTTATGCACCCAAATCATTATTATTAAGAAATACCTTTGACGTAGCTCGTTGTGCGCATCCAGACACCCGCGATGGAAATTGACCTCGCCTGAAAGCGAATTGGCTCATTAGTTCAGCTGCAGTGCGCAATCTAGAAGAGCTTAGCAGCTGTCCAGCGCTTTTGAACGCTCGAATGGAAATATTCGTAATCATTAAAACAAGCGTAGATTGCATCGCAGTTATTGCACTTTTCACTTATCTATAATAGAGCACATTCACAAAAAAAACCTCTCGGCATTGATCAATCTCTGAGGGATGCGCCGTGCATTCGACTTCGTTTAGCATCGTTTGGAGGTTATTGAATGCATACCCGGCTTTTACAATGACTCACGGTGGCCCCTATCTATGTATCGAGCTAGCGCTCCTATGCTCCCAGACAAGTCTGGTACCAATTTTCCGACCCCGCAGAGATGGAAGACTTGTTGAGCCAGGAGTGCGGGGGATAGATCTCCTGTGTTGCAGGGCACATCCGACCACTGTGCCACGCGCGCTCTTCCCCAGATTCATAAAGGAATAGAAATCAACGATAAATTACAAATGACTCGAAATAAATACGAAACTATAAACAACTAGAAGATGTTTATATTCGCTTGTGACAAAGATGTAGATGAAGAAGGTTACGGAGAAACTCAAAATTGGATAAGATTCGGAAGATGCACTTATTGATTTTTTCATCTGATTAGATGCAAATCTCCAAAGCACTCACTGACTGCGGTATACTTGCTCTTCTTGATCAGGTACTTGACGTCGGTGATGGTCTGCATCATGTAGCGGCTCAACTCCAGGTCGAAACTCTTGCCACGCTCCTCTCCGTGCGACGAGCACACCGCCTCCCAGTCATCTGACGACGACGGAACGTGACTGAAACGGCCGATAAATCGATAGTCCGTGATCACTGCAGATGAGGACGTCCTATCAACGCCATCTAGTGCAGATATGGCTCGCCCACACTTCAGATTTTCACCTTTCTGAGTTTTATTTTTGCTATTATTCTACCATTATTCTACCGAGTGACGCAAAAATTAAATAGTTGAAAATCCACTATTATTATCTACCTTATCATTATTTGCTGATATTAAATTGTATCATTATTATATATCGTCTGTATAATTATTTATCATTGCTGCACATTATTAATGTTGTTGCCATTATTATTATTATCATTATTATTACTATTATTATTGGGCACCGTCCCAACGGTTTACCACCTCACCGTGGTTGGGAGGTGTTCCTGAGTGTCGGATTGCGATCTACAGCGGGGGAACCACCTCCTGGCAGGGTCTCCCATGCTAAGAAGGAGTTCGGCGTTTCCATCAGGAATCCTAGCTAAGAGTAAATCAATACCAGAATCCATCACCGCCTTGATATTAAACTAGTTGCATGGTGGCAAATCTCCCTCTGATCCACAAGGGCTGCGACTGCCTCTGGTGGTGAAGACTTGGGGCAGACTTTGGCCAAGCCCATCTCGGGATTCCAGGAAATCGCAGTGGTTTAACCAGCAAATTTCCAAAAAATGGAGATTGTGCTAGGCCCCGCAAAAGTGAGGACGGGCCATTCAAGTATCAAGCAAGTATTATTGCGAACACAAGGCTCTTGCCTCGCAAACATCAGTGATTAAAAAACAAAAAGTTAGAAAAGTCAGAAACCACCTTAAAGCAAAAATAATAACTGACGAGAGTAGTTTAAGAACCGATTTTCATTTGTCACGAATGTTTCTCTACAGATGCAGTTTCGACATGAAATCGACGGCACCATTTAATCTTCCAAATCATTATTTATACACTTCACTTTAACGTTTTCACTAAAATTATGGCTTAATGGCTGTATTCGTAGACTACATGGTACCACGTGATTGATACCTTCTATTACGCTGGATAAATGAGGATAAGAGCCATTATTTTAGGACCTTAGGAAAACTGTATAAGTTTGCAACCTACCTTGCTTGGAAAAGCATTGAAGAGCCTGGTAAGAAGACAATGTATGTGAATTCTGAACACGATGTCTCTCTGGGGCGTAGTTCTTGTCGTTACAAATTGGGTAATGGGCGCGGAGAATCCACGATTCCCGATCATATGATTACATGAACCAAATAAATCCACGGATTTTGATATGGACTAAAGTGAAAGGCCTTCGAAAAAAGGGCGCTTGACATTCTTATTACTTATTGCTGGATTTAAATGGATTATTGTGATGGAACACTCGTAGGGATGGAGCAGACGAGCTATGCACATGCAAATAAACTGCTTTTGATAGCGAACAACTTTCTACAAACTCGAACCAGCCGAATCTCTCAGAGGATAAACAGGTCTAAATACCAGGTTGCCTTATACAAAAAAGCCTTTGCTTATCATAACAAAACTGTCGACACAGCAATAATCAAATCATTCTCGGATCACTGCAAAAATAACGCACAATTCTGAGAAATCGGTTTCAAATGCTAGAATTCGGCTCGAATACAATTTTATTTATCGGTATGAGGATCACAAAACCTTAACATTTTTATTAGTAAGGTCAAAACATGTTTTCTCCCCTAGGTATTGTCGGAAACTTCTTCGGGAGTTATTAATCATAAATGGTTCTCCGCCGGTGAAACCGGCGGTGCAGGTGCTGGGTGAGAAAGCGTTTCGTAGCACAACTCGTCCAACTTTTACGAAGTATGTTGTGCGATGTGCGGTTGGATGCGATCACGGCATGGATTTGCTGCCGAACATCAGTCTAACCCTTTGCTTCGAGCATTTCACCATATTTAAAAAGCTGTAATACTGCAGTGAACGAGGAATTGTTTTTTTCCATTTTGGTTTAAATGGTACGCTGAACATCGTCAGCTGTTGTCGTGTGGGATAGATTTTTGAATGTGAATTGTAGTACAAAGCTACTAGGAAAGAAATCGTTTTCATACGCAAAAGAGGCACAGAGCAGACTACATAGCTGTCTGCGTTGGACGCCTCCCATTTAGTCAGATTGTTTTCTCATTTCCATTATCTTCGAATGACGAATAACAATTATTTTCGAATATCCAGTTGGGAACTCTCTCAAGAAATTCTATAAAGCGAATTCCGATTATATTCAGATGACCGTCGTCATTTAGTGCTTAACGTTCGCAAGATTTCTGGTTATCGTCTAGTCTTCAGCACCACCTCTGCTCTCTTCCTGCGTTCAGCAGCACCTAGCTGGCCTTAGGTTCTGACGACTTTTCGAGTTGCATCCCTTGCTGCATATTCAATTTTGAACTCATGAAATAAAATAGCAACGTTTAATCCATCGTTCCAATCAATCTAACACTACGACAGATGTAATTAAAGAAAAATAAACTCTAAAATAATATAGAGCCAAGAAGAAAGCATCAAATAACCCTTACAAGATTTATTCATGAGAAAAAGTATGTCCACTGTTTTCGTATCAACCGGAACCGAATGTGCTGTTTCACAATGAAGAAAACGAACTGGAGCAGCAGTGCCTGCTCCTGCTTTTGGATGGTCTCCTCAAATTTCCGCGAAACTTTGAGATTCTATTTCCACTTGGCACTCGGCTGTCAGAGAGCTTTTAGATTTCTTGACAATTTCTTTGTGTATAGATGGACTATTAATGCCCTTGTCAACCATTCGATACACCACATCATCAAGAAGTTAACGAGCGATGTTCATCAGAAGCGCTCTTTAAAAATTAACTTTTTTAAAAAGTGGCACATATTAGCAATAGCATGACGAACAAATTGCTAGAAAATTAAATTCACCAGAAAACTCATTTTGCAAAAAATGGTTAACTTTTTATTTACTGATTACTGTTATTTTTCACCTCAGGGTATGATGTGAGAGGCAACCCCTATGAAATTTCTAATTAGCAATAATAATTAATTAAATAAAAAAATTTTGCAAAAATTTCAGCATCATAGTGGCTGCATTTCACATCATACGATGCCGCAAAAATAGCAATAGGCAGTAAAAAAAATTTAACTTTATGATTTCGCCTACAGCAAGAGCTTAACTTGGTTCAATGCCGATTTGTGCTCCCCAGATCCAAGCCCGCTCATTGGTGATTGCTGATAGCACTGGTAGATAGAAAACTGGCCGAGAAAAGAAAAAACAGCCTGAGAAATGAAGTACTGACACTTCTAACCAATCCTTAAAAGATAGAAGCAAGAAGCTGTAAATACATCTAAGTCCTATTGCGAACAGATTCTACAAGTTGCCAAAAATAAAGAAATTAGTAAATTGGAATTTTAAGCGATCGAATTGATGCAAAATCAATATCTAAAGTGGCAATCAAAATTACTACTGTTAAAAATATTGTCTACGGAATTGCCATGCTCTTCGAAACAGCACTAGATTCACTAAATTGTTACTAAAATTTGGTTTCAAAAGCAACATTAGACTTTTCCCGTAGATGGTGATGTGAGTAGCAGTGAATGCATGTCTGGGTATGCCGTCCATGTTCTAGAATTAGGATTCTGCTAAGAACCTGCAGCCTTGGATCGAAGCTTCTTGGGGTCGTAGCCAATTAGCAGCCTGCCAACTCTCCCAGGAAGCCGAGAAGCGATCCGTCAGACTTCTCCAGCCAAAACTATAAGAAAGAAAACGACTACAACACTCTTCGATCCTCTGCAAAACCTCGTTGAAGGAAGATTGAAAGAACAGCTCTCACTTTAGTGACATCATCAATATGTCAAAATGGAGAGAAAATAAACTGGTAAACAACGTACGCTTAACTGCAAACTGCAGGAACGATAGAATGAAAATTGCCTGTGGAATATTTGAGAATAATGGAAGGCTAGCAGGAGGAATAGGCGAAACGATGATTTTGACTATTATAATGAAAAAGCGATGAATTTACCAGCCCTGCTATAGAGGAGAATCACTCCTTGCATTTTTGGGGTTATGACATTATTCTATAATTAACAGTAACGACGCTAAAAATGAGAAGCTTTTCGGAAACTTTACAGAAAGAAGAGAAGACGAAGCCAAGATTATGGGTGTCCAAGCAAAGTGCCTCTTCTTCTGAAACTCTGAGGTTATACTCTGACGGACTCTATGACATAAATGAGTGGCCTTAAATTTGACTACAAAAGGGTGAGAAGTATCCCAGGAAAGAGAAAACGGTAGCGTTAGAATAGGCATTTTATGCACTATGTAGAAAATCATCTGAAACATTTTCGACGATAATCTATTAGACTGAATACCTCTATAACGATAACCAAAATATATGTTGGCAGCCTTTTAGAAGTATTATCATCCAACATTTTCACAAAAGAGCAATATTGAAGCAAAGCACCGTTTGTTCTTTGTTATAATAGAAAATTAGCATTTTTGACTTGCTCGGTTGTTAAATATATCATTAGAATAAAATCATGCTTAAAATCGAAGACGTACTTGACGAGGATTGCCGATTTCGATTGATGTATTTCCACCGGAGCGCCCCCGTTGCCATTATGTTCGGTCTTCGCAACAGTCTCTGATTTTGACTTGCGAAGTTTTTTTCGACCAAAAAACTTCTTCATCACTACAATTAGAGTATATTGCTGACCACTAAACTAAATTTCGAAGCATTTCTTCCATATGGATTAAGAAAAACAACAGGAAGAAGAGAGAAGAGATATCTTGTTATTGGTCTCTAGATTAAAAACTGGGACCTGCAATTGTCCTTTGGACTTTTGCCGATAGTTACCCAATATTTTGAGAATTATGACATGTAAATGCAAAACAAGGAAAAAGTACCAGAATTCGAAAAAAAAGAAACCCAGATCTTTAGTTATTGTTGCAGGCCAGCGCGATATGACAATAAGAAGAAGGGCGAGAAAGATGACGTTCTAACAATTTCCGAGATAGCTAAGTCCTAACCTCACCATAGCTCAACGAGCAGGGACGAGATCGTTAAAACAAAATTCATTCCACAACGATAAACGTTCCAGCGAATCTCGCATCCTTCAGTTGGTAGGGATGCCTTGTAAGCAAGAATGACACTACTTTACACCTCGAGCTATTTTTGGACGCGATACGAAAATCCTTAGCAAGTTTAGAAAAAAATATTGCATAGCAAATACCATGTCTGCATATTAAGAACAAAGAAATTATTGATATTTTAGTCACTAATCAGGACGTATAAAAGGGTAAAACCTACTTTTGCTATTCGTCTATTTTCTCGTCGCAGACACTATTCTTTATATAGATGCTGGAGCTTTACATTCATCCTGCCATTCTCATAGAAACAGTACAGAACTCTGGAATTTCAAAAAGATAAATGTTGATACAAAACTATTACACAGCGTGCATTCACGCAAACATCTGCGAGTATCTCTTGAAAACTTTCAGGTGGAACTTACACGAAAAAGAAGATGATGTTGGCAATATCACAAACACGGACGGAGTTCATTACGAAACCATGAGTTTCAAATAAAATTAAGCAATAAATTAAGCACATTCAGGATAATGTGGGTCAATGTGACACATAGCTGCACGGAAAAGTGGGAGCCTTTCAACTTTAAACAAACCTCTCCTAGCTCTATACGAACACTATTAAATCGAACAGGAAATGTAAAATCCCGTACCTTTCCCTAATCACATAGAGTTATTCTTCTTCCAGAGGACTTTAATTTTTTGGGATCCATTTTTTAAATTTGTGATTCAAATAAGTGTTAGAATAAAAACAATCATTGTTGACCACTGAGGCGATACAGTTCTCATCTGTGAGTCTGTCGACTTTTCCAATCCCACAAGTGCTCTAGTTACTGAAAAGATTTTCGTCAGTTATTCAATGGCGTTACCCTTAGGAGTGGGTTAAGTATCTTATAGATATTGATGTGTATTCAATATATCCAGCCATTACGAAATTATGGCAGTATAAGCGGCGTTCATTATGAATGCTCCTCTTCCTCAAAACACAAGGGCACAACCATTAGACTCGTAGGTGTGAAAACCAAAAACATCACCTGGTAGAAAAAGTGTTGTATGAATTCTTTTT